CAGTCTCAGCTCCTGCTGCAGTGTGAACAGTTTGTGGAACAGTCTCAACTCCTGCTGCAGTGTGAACAGATTGTGGAACAGTCGTGCTGAGGGTTGCTTCTTGGTCCTGATCATTTTACTGCTGTGGAGCACACTGAAGAAGCCACAAGTTGGCGATGTGTCGTCCATCCTGCTGCTTCACACTTGCATGTTCCACTGATGCAGAAACACACAGGCTCGTGTTATTACTCACACACGCATGCACACACACACAAAAACACACCTGAGAGGAGCAGCAGCAGGTTGAAGCTGAACGATGAGCCACTCAGGAAGCCTCTAAACATACACCGGCTCACATCCCTCTCCCTGCTCTCCCTCCTCCTCTTCATCTTCTTCTTCCTCTTCCTCCTCCTCTTCCTCTGGACTCATGCTGGTAGTTCCGCTCATGCTTGGCAATGCCTCGCAGGCCTCCAGTGGTTTCGGGTAACGGAAGGGGCAGCCATTGTCATCAAAAAACCTGCGGAAGGTGAACTCATAGAAGGCGTGCTCCGGGTGCTTCCCGTGTGGAAAGCAGAGCGCATCCAGAGCCCGGGTGCTGTCCTCGCTGTCGCTCCACGCTCCTGGGCCTCCTTCCTCCTCCACTGGGTCGAAGTTGGACGTGTCCATGGGGTGAGCGATCTTTGGCCTGTAGGGCGCTGGCTGCTGCCGCAGATTGCTGGAGAAGTCCACCTCAGAGAAGAAGGGGTGAGCCTTGATCTCACCAGCGCCGTTGGCACCCAGGCGGTCCTCGGCAGAGCAGCAAAGACGGCCGATGATGTTGATGGACTCTGGGCTCAGCTGCACCTGTGGAGGTACCTGTAGCGTGTTTTCCCAGTTTATGACCTGCAGGAGTCAAACAAAGTCAGAAAGTGTAACGTGTAAATCACGTGTTGACAGGGCAGCAACATGTCACATGTTTACTGCTGCAGATCACTCCAGCCCAACAAGCTGCAGTCCTTTTTACTTCAAGTTCAATCTGATGTGTCCCTGACCTTAATCTGAGTCTCTGTAGGTGTTGGAGCGAGGAACGGTGGCTGTCCCACCAGCATCTCAAACAGGATCACTCCCACACTCCACCAGTCACACAGCTGAGTGTAACCTGCACAATCAGGACATTACAAATGAAAAGTGATGCAAGGAATGAACAAACATACCGTCCTATGGTTTCAGCTTTAATACAGTCAAACTTTGTATTTTTGTGCAATTATCTGATCAAATAAAAAATAAGATTATAGTGTTAAACCTATACGTTTTCTGAACATCACAGAATCTAGTTTCCATTTATCCCAAAATTAGTAGGAGTTAATTATTTCACCAGCCTTTAAAAAGAAAATTTTATTTTCTACTCTGCAGATTCATCCTCATCTTCTCCACCAACCTTTGCGCAGCAGAACCTCAGGTGCGATATAATTAGGCGTTCCCACCAGTGAATGGGCCAGGCAGCGCTGGTGCTGGCGGTGGGCGCGTTGCTCCAGTGTCATCAGCCGGTCGCCACAGCGACAGTTAGATACATCATCCCAAAAGTCGCTGGGCTCCATGCTGTCCTGTCTAATGTGACTCCCTGGAAACAGACGTGTAAAAACAATCATGTTACAAGTCCACGTATTAACAGTTTGACACGATCCACAAACACCGAGACAAGAAAAGTGGCCCAGTTAGTGGCTGCAGGTCACAATCCCCTTGCATCCACGCACAGCTGCCTGACCCATTTTAAAGATTTACAATAGTCCCTCGCTACTTCATGGTTCATTTTTCGCTGACTCACTCTATCGTGGGGAGTCTATGTCTATCTATGGGGAGTGGTGGCGCAGAGGTTAGAGAGGTGGGCCTGTGATCTGAAGATCGCCGGTTCACGCCCCGGCCCCGACGGCATCAGGATTGTGGGTGGGGTGGGTGAAGCGCCCACGCTTGCCCCCATCCTCATTCGCCCCACTCTGGGCCCATGAGCAAGGCCCTTAACCCCCCCATCTGCTCCCTGAACAGGTGTCTCTTGAAAATGAGTTCTCGTGGCTCAATGAGACTAACCTGGATAAATAAAGGATACATGAAAAAAAAATCGTGGTTTTTCAAAATAAGATGGGACATGACACACAACTGGTTGATTGATGGATGAGCCGCACGATCATCATGGAATTTTTATTTAAAATAAATTGTTTTAAATGATTTAGCACCTGCTGCACATCTGTGCAGCCCAGAGCTGCAGAGGAAGCAGCATGTCACATCTGCAGCGGAGAAGTGGGCATGGCCAAGAGCGCCGGCAGAGAGGGAAATCACGATATTCTACATTTAAAAATGCCAGATCTCAACATATATTTAAGAGAATGTTAAAGGAGTTATTTGACAGAATACAAAAAACTCCAAATTGAATCCACTAAAGTTATTGTTTGAGTTGATGATGTTGTTCTTTAGTTGATGTTGCTTTTAAATCTCTGAAGTTGTTGCACGTCTTGCTTTCTGTTTTTGTTTGGTAACAAGACAGTAAAGGTAAAAAAGGGGCAGATATTATAAGATTCATTCTTCTTCTGCTGCCTTTCATTTTATTTTGACTGTATACATTTTTTTTTATTATTTTTGAGTTATGGTTTTAATGCAATGAAATGAATAAATTAAATAAATAAATAAATAAATAAATATTCTGTGTCTTTTAGAGCGTTCAAGAGTTTAGAAACATTGTTTCAAATATTGCAAGAGTGTGGGAAGTGTTTAAAACACCTTAATATCTAAACTGCCTGGCCAAAATAAGTCTACACCTGGATTTAACTAAGCAAATAGGTACAAGCCTCCTGTTGGATCATTACTGTAAGGGTGATTATCTTTCAGCTGCAAGAAGTTATTTAACTCCAACTGGTGCACAGGGCCAGAGTAACACTTTGCTGTACCCTGGGCAACAATCATCACGACCCCAGAATCACCATAATCTGTCAAAATACAGAATAAATTACCATAATATACAGTAAATATACTTAAAATTCTAACTATCAAGTGTATTTTGATGTATAAAAATACAAATGCTCATAGAACTATAAATGCTACTGTGTCCTCTTGTTGATGCAAATCATCAAGACTGAATTAAGTTGAACACACTTTGAACACCATACGACACCATGTGTACTTGTTTAGCATCGTGTTGGCCACTGGAGTCAGAAGCATTTGTAATTGGGGGGGGGGGGGGGGGGAAAGACATTGACTGTGTGTGTGTGTGGGGGGCTGTCTGGGGGTCATCCCCAGAAAATTTTGAATAAAGTAGATGCCATTTCCTACATCCTGGTGTATTTTAACAGTTGTTTAACATCTAGTTTTACCTACACAAGTAAACACTTGATTCAGTAACTATTTTAGAGCTAATGGCTCAACAAGAAGTAACCTGACCAACAGCTGATTCAATGAATTAAAAATATATTCAAAGGTGACGATTTGATGCCCACATTAAAATTAAATATCTGTAACTTAGTTGACTTCAAATGCAACAAGATGATCATTGAATGTTTGCAACAAAGGATTTACTGATTATAACAGAGATTCCTTCAAGAAACCTCCCAGTATAAATCATAAAACCAGTATGAATTCTGCTCATTCTAAATTTGTCAAATGGTCTAAATCTCCTAAAGTGAAGGAGAATCATTTTAAAATAATAAACAAGATATATCCTGTAGCCATGTTTCTTGAAATAAGATTTAAATTTGAGGTTGATTTGTGTCTTTTGCAAATCAGAAGATGAATCTATTAATAATTATAATTTTTTAATTTTTTCACATCAATACAAAGTGTTTGGTCAGACATCAGAAACTGGATTAATCTCAAACGTAAGATTCCTTCTTTTCATGCTGAATATATTTTACTTTATGTGGATAACTTGAACTCAGCTTTCTCTGATTCATTAATAAAGTCGTACTTATAACAAAGTACCACATTCACTGTAATAAAGAGGAGGGATAATAAGTCCTCCTTCCTGTTTGATGAACCATTTGAAGTCTTACTATTCTTCATTAAGTAGATTAAAAAACTGCAAAACTGCTAGAATCATCTCACAACAGATAAAAACTTATTGTTTTAATTAAAACAAGTTTTTCATATAGTCACGCTTCTTTGTTTTATATTTAAAAAAAAATTATGTTTATTTTTTTCTCTTTCATTATTTTGTGAAATGTAGATATGACACTCTTCACAAGTTTGTATTGGTATATTGTTGCATTGTTCGGTTTTGTGTTGTTAATAAAATTCTAGAAAAAAAAAACCTGGCGGGCTTGTCATCAGGTAAGGGGCGTTACTTTTGGGACAAATTGAGGTCGTCGATTGGTTAGTTGCTGACACGCCTACTGATTGATTGACAGGTCACGCAGTGGAGGATCCGACTCCATACAAAAAAAAAAAACCGAGAGCTGTAGCAGCCACGGTGGGAGAAGGCGGGGCAGCCCAAATGCAGCGGCAGCGCAGCCGTCTCTCTCTGCAGCGCAGGGCTCCAGGAGATGACCAGATATTTTGCTTTTGCCCTCACTGCTCTGGGCCCCTTAGAGATCGTGGGCCCCTGGGCACTTGCCCAGTTGCCCATATGGTTAATCTGGCCTTGCTGGTGCAATGAGTTGCTTCTCATTTCTTAAACATCCATGTGGAAAGACTCATGGCCTGGTCGTGGAAAAGATGTCGGTCTGTTTGAGAAGGGTCAAATCATTGGCATCAATCAGAGGAAACATCTCAGGAGATTGTAGAAACTACTAAAACTGGGTTAAGAACTGTCCAACACATTATTAAAAACTGGAAGTATAGTGGGGACCCATCATCTTCCAGGAAGAAATGTGGCTGGAAAAAACTCCTGAATGATCGTGATCAACGATCACTTAAACGCTTGGTGAAATCCAATGGAAGAAAAACACCAGCAGCACTCAGGGCTGTGTTTAATAGTGAAAGTAAGAACATTTCCACACACACAATGTGAAGGAACTCAAGGGACTGGGACTGAACAGCTGTGCAGCCTTAAGAAAACCACTAACCAGTGAGGCTAACTGGAAAAAAAGGCTTCAATTTGCTAGGGAGCATAAAGATTGGACTCTGGAGCAATGGAACAAGGTCATGTGGTCTGATGAGTCCAGACCTGTTCTAGAGTGATGGGCGCATCAGGGTAAGAAGAGAGGCAGGTGAAGTGATGCACCATCATGGCTGGTGTCTACTGTACAAGTCTGTGGGGGCAGTGCTATGATCTGGGGTTGTTACAGTTGGCCAGGTCCAGGTTCAGCAACAGTATGTGCTCAAAGAATGAGGTCAGCTGACTACCTGAATATACTGAATGACCAGGTTATTCCATCAATGGATTTTTTCTTCTCTGATGGCACGGTCATGTTCCAAGATGACAATGCCAGGATTCATCGGGCTCCAACTGTGAGAGTGATTCTGGGAGTATGAGACATCATTTGCACACATGGATTGGCCACCACAAAGTCCAGACCTTAACCCCATTGAGAATCTTTGGGATGTGTTCGAGAAGGCTTTGCACAGTGGTCAGAATCTGCCCTCATCAGTGCAAGATCTTAGTGAAAAGTTAATGCAGCACTGGATGGAAATAGATCTTGTGACATTGCAGAAGCTTATCGAAACAATGCCACAGAGGATGCATGCTGTAACCAAAGTTAAAGGCGGTCCAACGAAATATTAGTTTGTGACCTTTTTTTTGGCCAGGCAGTGTGTATACAGGTGCTGGTCATAAAATTAGAATATGATAAAAAAAAATTTGATTTATTTCAGTAATTCCATTCAAAAAGTGAAACTTGTATATTATATTCATTCATTACACACTGACTGATATATTTCAAATGTTCATTTATTTTAATGTTGATGATTATAACTGACAACTAATGAAAACCCCAAATTCAGTATCTCAGAAAATTTGAATATAACTAAAGACCAATAAAAAAAAAAAAAAGATTTTTTAGAAATGTTGGCCAACTGAAAAGTATGAACATGAAAAGTATGAACATGAAAATTATAAACATGAAAAGTATGAACATGAAAATTATGAACATGAAAAGTATGAACATGAAAAGTATGAACATGTACAGCATCAATACTTAGTTGTTGCTCCTTTAGCCTGGATTACTGCAGCAATGCGGCGTGGCATGATGTCAATCAGTGTGTGTCACTGTTCAGGTGTTATGAGAGCCCAGGTTGCTCTGATAGTGGCCTTCAGCTCTTCTGAATTGTTGGGTCTGGTGTATCACATCTTCCTCTTTACAATACCTCATAGATTTTCTATGGGGTTTAGATCAGGCAAGTTTGCTGCCCAATTAAAAACAGGGATACCATGGTCCTTAAACCAGGTACTGGTGGATTTGGCACTGTGTGCAGGTGCCAAGTCATGTTGGAAAATGAAATCTGCATCTCCATAAAGTTGGTCAGCAGCAGGAAGCAGGAAGTGCTCTAAAACTTCCTGGTAGATGCTGTGTTGACCTTGGACCTCAGAAAACACAGTGGACCAACACCAACAGATGACCTGGCACACTAAACCATCAGTGACTGTGAAAACTTGACACCGGACCTCAAGCAACATTGATTTTGTGTCTCTCCTCTCTT